TCGTACTCCTGTTCGCGATGTAGAGGACTCAAGAAACCGCATCATCGATGCGTGCAGGGTAATCAGAGAGACTCCAGGAATATTGGAGCGTATACGTGGCTCAATGCGCCGATGTCTAGACGCATACGTAATGTCTGAAGGTAGACATATTGAACATTTACTATGATTTCTACATGTTGTGTGTTTTGTTATTAATGAATTAGTTTTGTTTATTACCCTTTAATCGTTTAATGCAGGTACTAACTACAAAATAACAATAAATCCAGTTCAAATTTATGACGATGTATCTCTGTAGTTGTTCGTAAAATAATTTTTTGCTGCGAACTGGTTTATTTTGGGCAAAAAACCCAGGTGACATTTTTTGTTTAGGATGAAACATGCTATCGGAAATGAATTTTTGAATGGTAAACAAATAATGAGACAAAAAGTTACATTGGAAATCAATTTTAGGGGTTGCGTTTTTCACCCCTTACATCCATGGGGTAAACCAAATAAATTACTGGCTAAGTGTCTTTTTGGTAGTACAAAACGTCAGGTTAATTTCAATATTGTAACTTTCTCACTGCTTGTGAAAAAAATTGTTATACAAATTTTATGTTCCCCCTTTTAAAGGGCTGTATCTTAACAAGGGATGCTCCAATGAAGTTTCTTTATATGAAAGATCCTTTTTTTTTCGATGAGGAATCACCTCCTTGAATGTTTTACACTTATTGGACGGTTTGAAACTATGGGTTGGCGTCTTGAGATAAAATTTCACAATGACACTTCTGATAACTCTTCGTCTCTATGATAACATAATACTAATTTATTTCATCCACTGAACCGCTATGGCTAATCACATATCAATACATCCTTGAATATTGTTTGTTTACAGTTACACTTTTCCTGATCACCAGAAATGTAATTTTCTTCTCAACGCGCGTTTCACTAACCAAGTTGGCGTCTTCAGGGATAAAACTGAGGACAATACTTTGATTGGTGTACCGCGCGTCGAGAGACGCATGAATGAATGAAATGGATAAAAAAATAGAAAAAAGCATGAAATATTTCCCTCTTCAGAGTTCGAGCGATTTCATTTCAAACGCTAACTGTTAGAATTGTGCCACTCGATATAATCTTTTTGAGAATTGACTAATTTAATTTTGGATTTTCGAAAACTAAAACATGGAACTGTATATAACTCTTATTTTATCCTATTTAATCAAGGAATCATCTCTAGAACTGTTTAATCAACTCATTGCATGGGTTGATTAAATGAGATTTCGTCAAATCGTTGATAATAGTTTCGCCCAGATAAATGGCAATAGAATTACTGCCGTGTCAAACAAATTGATTCTGATTTAATATCAATTTGGTCGTTATCATTTCAAATATTTTGATTAAACGGTTCCGCAAGAAAATGTCATTAACGCATTTCGTATTCAAAGAAAGTAACATTATTTTCTGCAGGCTGCTAAGAAATTCATGAGTTCGCCAGCGTTTAATACAACGATAATCAGGGGTACACTAAGTGACTATTAGGCCCAATCAAGATCATTCTTCTTGATAATGGGTTTTTGGTTGCTCGTTATTGAAATCATGATTAAAACTTTCTCTGCGGTTTATGTGAACCAAAGTGAGCCAAACATTTGGGTTTGAGAACTGAGATGAACACTGTCTGAGGCAGTTTGAATTTTATGATTTTATGATGAAAATCCGTTATACCGTTTTCAAAAACACTTCAATGTGAGATTTCCACTTGACAGTTTACAAAACCGTGACACGTGTTTCACTACACAACAGCATCTTCAGGCGTCACATTACTGACTACACCAATTCTGTGTCATGCTTTTATCACCAAAGTAAGTCAGAGTCATAGAATGTTTACTGTTATTCTTTGACACTGGATAAACCTGGTTCAGAGCTAGTTTTTGCAATTTTTAGAAAGAATTCAGCCAATAATATCCACCTCGTAATCGTATCTTTCAAATTGCAAAAACTAGCTCTGAACTAGATTCAGTTTCAGAGAATGATAGTAAACAAATAATTAGACGTATCCTACAGAATAAATAGTAATTTCAGTAGATTCATTGAATACGATGAAGAGAAAACTCCAGTGTCGGATAAATCGGGAGTATATGAGTTGACTTGTGGTTCTTGTCCCAAACTTTATATTGGCTAAACAGGAAGAGTTTTCTCCAAAAGAAAGAGAGAACATATAAATAGTTGAATGAGAAGACCAATTCAACATTCGCAAACCATTTCTTGATAGAGGAGGAGTTCAGTCATGATCATGAAGTATCACTTTTGGAACGTTCAAAACCCATCTTTTTGAAATGCTTGGAAATCAATAGATTTCAGAATTCGGGATTATTGCTCAATGATCAAATATATTTGAATTTTCGCCCTTTATTGCGATGAAATGAGGAAATAGGTAATCAGGACAGATCTTGAAAGTGGATGAAATGACGTCTCAGGTGAAACTTGGAATAAATATTCTTCAGTTTATTGAGTTGTTCCTAGAAATGTTGATATTTCACGTGATGAATTTATCAGATAGCAATAGCCATAAGGTTTCGAATTACTATAAAAGCATGACATAGATTTGGTTTATTCTGTATTGTGACGCGTGAAGATGCTATTGAATGGTGAAACAAGTATCGCGATTTTGTGAACGAAAGCAAAAATGATCTCGGAAATAATAAATGAAAAATAATTCAACAAAAAAACTCCAGAATGCTTTACCTGGGAAATAAGTAGGACGTTTGTTTCTTCATTTTTGACAACTCTTCCACTAATTATTAGTGACTACCTAACGAGTCTACTTCAGATGGATAATATTTTTTCTAATTTGTTTGAAGGTGATTGACAATGTTTCATGATGAGTTTCATTAGTTTGGACTTCCATTTTTCAATATTATATAAAATGATTTGAATTCCCTGAAAGTGTAAATAAAAAAGAAGAATTAAAAAAGTATAGCTGAAAATAACAATTATATTTAAGCAAACCCTGAAATGAAATTACAGTGAAATAAAATACAAGAGGAAATAGAACAATTAAACACAAAATGAAAAAATTAAGAGATTCCAAGCCAAGTTTCTTCACGACGTTTCGATTGTAAATATACACAATCGTCTTCGGATGATGACTGGACTAATTCCTCCGAGAGATGACTATTTATGGGTTTCGAAACGTCATGAAGTAACTTACTTGAAATTTTTGCTTGATTGTTTTATTTTTATTTGTATTTCATTGCACTGTTATTTCATTTTAGGGTTATTTTGCTTAATATAAATGTGATTTTCAGCAATTTTTCAAAATTTTTCTTTTTATTGGTTCTTTCAAGGATTTCAAATCATTTTATAAAATAATAGACAATGGAAGTCCGAAGTAATGAAATTAATATTTTCCAATAATTATTTTTGACGAAATATCATGTTGCTTCATTATTTTATTGAATATTAGAAGTAAAAATACTCTGAACATTCACCATTATGTAATACGTCTTTGTTTTCTGTCATTTCATTAAAATAATATCCTTGAGTGTTTTTGATACATAACTTTGTTTAGGTGTCACAGATTTCTCACGGACTACCAACAAAAACATTGTGAGTAATATTTATGAATGTCTATGTATATAATATTTTTGAAAAAGTAGCTGAACGACCTTCAGAATAAGGTACCACTCAATTCCTCAAAAGAGTTATGAAATCAGTAATGAATTCATTCACAGGATATAGTAAATACTAGCCCATTTTCCCAAAAATATTTCCATATTTTTCAATGGTCTTGAGGTCTATTTCTACCTGTTTGTATTCTTTTAGAGATCACAATCATTATTGAACATCCTGGTCTGCAAAATGGAAAAAGAAAAAAATTCAAAGTTCACTCTCAAAAGAGAGTGGAAATGGAATATTTCAAAAATTAGTGAACGTTGCCACGTTTAAATAAATATTCAGTAACAGAAAGTTATTCAATTCTAATCGATAATTCAGTAAATTACCGAATTCTTGATTCTATTGATTTTCAAACGTTCTAGAAGATTGAATTTCAAACTTTTCTCCTCTGAATGTAACACGTCGGATTCATGATTGAACTCATGTCTTTCTGCTAAAAAATGGTTTGAAAATATGGAAGTGGTCTTTCTTTTTGTGAAACTATTTCTATTATCTCAAAAGAGAGTGGAAATGGAATATTTCGAAAATTAGTGAACGTTGCCACATTTAAAAAAATATTTAGTAACAGAAATTTATTCAAATATAATCGATAATTCAGTACTGAATTCTTGAATCTGTTGATTTTCAAACGTTCTAGAAGATTGAGTTTCAAATTTTTCTCTTCTGAATGTAACACGTCGGATTCATGATTGAACCCATGTCCTTCTGCTAAAAGGTGGTTTGCAAATATGGAAGTGGTCTTTCTTTTTGCGAAACTATTTCTATTACCTCTAATTGTTTGTGAAAATGTTCTCCCTGTTTGGCCAATATACAGATTCGTTGTAAATAATTTTTGATATGTCAGATTTTTTTCTGAAAAGTTAATAAATAATTGATTCGTATTCGTATCATACCTAAATTTTTCCTATTTATTACATTAATAAATATACATCAGCTTCAAATCAGCTTGTCGCTATTGAGTATTGGAAACTATTGGATTTCGCGAAATTGTATGAAAATTGTAAAACAAAATACAAAAATGAACCTCAAATTTGAAATTTCAGACTTGAGGGTAGTTCTTAATACAAAAGTTCCATTTACAAACTTCGTTTTCCGACTCATTATTCCTCCAAAGGTGTAGCAAGTTACTCCAAAGGTGTAACTCGCTACACTTTTGGAGTCCTTGAAATTTTCATCACAGAATTCACCGAGAAATCTTATTTTTCACTTAATTTAAGAAACCACTTATATAACTTTCCATCCTCCAGAGAGTTTCAGGAGTATTTCTAATCAAGCCATACATATCTCTTTAATGAAATCAGCGTTCATCTCAACCCCCAACCCGCAACCATGTTTCGACAAACCCCATAATAACTCCCCAGGCCGGAATCATGATGAGACAACTGCGGCAGACTCTGCGATCTGGACAGGCCGCTTCTTCTCGGCCTCTCATCGCTCGAGAGTTCCTCGTCGGTCGTTGCCATTCCTGCCAGTAGTCCGAGAAGAAGAAGAAGGATCAGGTCGACTAAGACTCTTCAGTATCATTCTTCACACGCATATATGAGTTGGTGGTGCAGATGAGATCTTCCCTCGTTTGTGGTACTTGATTAGGCTGAAATGGAACGAGAACTCAAGATTGTTCGATTTTTGTGATGATAGTACAGGAAACGAAGGAACCAACGGTGATGGTGAAATAACTCACATTGAAATGATAAAATTTAAACTAAGGTTGATTATGCAGATTAGTAAAAAGACAAGAGTGCGTCAAGATATTTCCGAAAACAAATTTCTTTTACCAGAATAAAAAAATACTGCCTTTTGATAAGTGCTTCGCTTAACTAGTTAGTTTCATCAGGAGCTGACTGAGACTACTTCTAATAGCTATGTTATGTGTACCCAGCTGCAAGTATGAAGATACACATAAAAACATACATACATGAACTTTGACAATTGATAATGGGCATTTTGTTGAAGCTACATCTGTCAAATTAGTTGTCATTTATGCAATCTGTTTTGCTGAACCGAAAGGAATATTCGCAATGCGGTGGATAAATTTGTGTCCACTGGTTCAGTAAACGATCAAACAACACCCATACGTTGACGAAGCGCAAGATTTGCTGAAAACATCACCACTGTCTGCGAGAGTGTGCAGGAGAATCTGAGGCTGTCGATTTCGTGTCGCTCACTCGGCATTTCGCAGATGCGAATTTTACATCGTGACTTGGGCCTGCATCCGTACAAAATTCAACTGACCCAGGAACTGAAGGTAAACGACCATAGACAACGAAGTGTGTTCGCTGAATGTGCTTGGGAGTAGTTGGCATACGACCCTAATTTCCATCGAAAACTCATCTTCAGCGATGAGACCCATTTCTGGATGAATGGGTACGTGAGCAAACAAAATTATCGAATTTGGAATTCACATGGAACCAATTCACATGAGATCCAAGAGCGTCCAATGCATCCCGAAAAAGTAACTGTTTGGTGTGGATTCTGGGCTCGAGGCGTCATCAGTTCATATTTTTTAGAGTACGACGAGCGAGCACTATAGATCGATGATTACCAACTTCTTTTGGTATAAATTGGATGATCTGGACACCAACGGCATGTGGTTTCAAAAAAACGCCGCTACGTGCCACATTGGATATTGTTTGGATATAGATACATATAAACAAATTTCATAATACACATACACGTATGTCAATATGCTTTCGAACGACTGCGAATTCATGATAATAGCAGAAGGTAATATCCGAAACTAGTCGGAGGGTCCATAGAAATACATAAACATAAGAATACTTTCAACCAATGAGATACAAGACCAGTCGGCCGTTCGACGCCTGGTCTAATTAATAGTACAAAGGGACCAGGATCGTTTTCAATTTGCGCATCGCAGCAAAATAGATCACTTCAACTGTTGCCGTGTAGCCTTTGATAATGTCTATCACAGTATTAGACGAAACGTCAAACATACAAACTTGTATACCAAACCCGAAAACATCCAACAATTTGATACATCCATCTGTAGATTAGGAAGGGTTAGTGTAGGCCCACAGCACTTAGACCACATTTGACCCATTGTACATCCTCCCGAGGAGTTGTCCTGCTAGGTTATCATCCGTTCTGTCCTTTCCAGGAAGGTGGACAGGTCACTGGAAGACATGTCCTTTATATCGGCAGGTGTAGGCCAAGACTCGCCGAACACACACTCTTATTGTCAGTAACTCCGAACACTCGCATAAGACATGCCTGACAGTTTCATATTCCTGTTCAGACATGCTGCATAGAAGTGTATCCACTAGCCCTATTTTATGGAGGTGTTTCCTTAGTTGACAGTGGCCAGTCAGAAATCCTACTGTTAAGCGTAGATTTTTCCTGGTCATCGCCAGATATTTCTTCGGTGCCAGCTCTCCAGGGTCGCCCAGGGTGATCCTGGCAAGATTGCATCCCTTGTTTTTCTCCCATATCTTTAGGGATTGAATATGGGTGTGAAGTTTGGCTAGTTCCGCAATTGTCGAAGTTATCAGGCCGTAGGTGCCACTAGGTTCTAAAATCCTGTCGCTTCCTTGGCTAAAGAGTCGGCCATGCGATTACCTTTACTTCTGTCGTGCCCTTCAACCCACCTCAGGATAATGTTATCCACCAAGGCTTTGGCTGAATCTTGGTGGCACTGAGTTAACACGTTGTCTGTTCAAGGCTATCAGTGTGGATTGTTATGTTTTTGCCAGAAATTCCTTTCCTGGTTATTCCTTTTGTGGCGATTGAGATACCAGCCAGTTCTGTTTGTACCACGCTGGTATTTTTTCCCTTTCCTACTTAATCTTCAGGCTTATTGATCTGGAGTACACTCCACATCCTGACCCTTCTTTGGTTTTTGAGCCGTCTGTATATATGCGTATTGCATTTGTAGCATCTGACTCTGCGCTCTGTTTTATTTGTATTTTGTGGGTTTTTTTAAACACAAATCTGGGTTCAATTGCATCACTGGTTGCCTGCAGCAGAGGTTTCTACTTCAATGTTTACACCAGCCGTGCGCAATCGTAACATGTCCATTAACAGGTTCGTTCCAACCTTGGGTCACCAACAGATTTCCAACAGTTTGTAAATCGTTGTCAACGCGCATGTCTGTTAAATATTGGTTTCTGATTAATTTGAAATTTCTGATTGGAACAGCTGATAGTTCAAACTGAAGTTTGGCAAGAAAAGCTTTAAAAAAAATCTAATCAAGTGTATTTCTGAAGAGTAAAAGAAGGTTGCAGTATTGTTTATTTCTATTCTATTTACTCATCAACATGGAACTGGGAGGAAAGTAGGTCACCGCAATAATTAATTTGTGTACTTAAAGATGTTCATATTTTAGGTACCCACACTTAAAGAATTCCTAATTTTTCCTGCGCCAACAAATACATAATTTATTTTATAACAATTTTTCCGGGTTATGTTGTTTGTAAGTTGCATGAATATAAAACAGAAACAGTAATACGGAATACGCATGCGTCAGATTAATGGTTAGAAGATAATCCTCAAACCATTCTGATAGATTTCGAACAGGTTTGAATCTTGGATGGAACAGAAAACTGATAGTTTACTAATGGTTGGAAACTCACGTTGGAATGCAATCACATTACTGCGCAGAATCCTGACTGTCAGAAACTGTTTCTGACGCTGGTTGGAACGAACCTAACTTGTCCCATTTCTTAGAACCTAAATTTTGTAACTAGTCCTTGTCTGTTGAAACTATCATTATTTTCTATCAGAATTCGGTATATGCACCAGTCTAATTAATGAAAAACTGTGGATATACTGGTCACACTGTATGCGAAGGAATTTCAACATCGAAAATCTCACAAAACATCAACAAAATTAACAGCGAATTTTTATGTCCCCGACATCATCCCATAAATCTCTTGATCAGTTTTGATATATTGTTCAGTTTTCACTTGTTCCCCGGTGTTTTCATTCGTTACCTGTACTAATTGCGCTCATTCATTCGTTTTTTCACACTGCATGCTGCACTCACATTCATAAATCGGGTTGTTCCAAATAAGAATCATCGCCCAAAGCGTTTCCATTTTGATTTAAATCTGTTGATTGAAAAAAGTTGTTCTCTACGCACATTATTCACTTGCCGGCAGAATCGAACGGTATAAAAGTCGCGACAAATTGTTTTTGCATTTTCCAAGGAACCGTGAAATCGGTTTCACTTTTTAAGATTCATTGATGAATTTCCAAGAATTTATGTTTAGCAAGAAATATATCACATTATTTGTTATTAACAAAATCCCTAAAAGGCTACAGAGTATTTGTTAAAATCGATAGTTGTAGGTAATCTAAAGGACTGCTCTTTTCATGTAGTAAACGTTTAACAAAAGTATAAAGATGTAATATTCAGAGATATAAACAAGGCTTTGGTAAACATCCAGGATGTTCTCAAAGTCACGTTAGTAACGGAGAAGTGAAGACAAAACGTAATTTCCAGTGAGAAAAGGATAAGGGAAAGTTTTCTATCCTAGACTACATTACCTACGTCATGTATTCAAATTTGTCCCGACGGAAAATGTTTTGAAGAAAACTTTCGGTAACATGAGTTGTTCAATCAATAAGGAATGTGTAATATAACACGGAGTTTCTCGTTAAGATCATGCCACATTTGTTGATTGAATTCAAATAGAGTTGTTGAATAATTATTTTCACTCGCCGGAATAATACTTTTTCTTTCAATCTTACCTCATCTTGAAAATCAGATCGAACAAATAAATATAGTTAAAAAAAAACAAAAAACACGCTTTTAAAGAACATCGACCTCAAAAGTTAAAAATAATTAAAAAAAAAGCTTAAAACAATAACGATCGAAAAATACTAGTATTATTGTGAAAAAAACGACGGACGCTTGATATACAAAAAATATGGCACAAAGCGCCCACGCTTTTTCCACAATAATACTTACTAGTATTTTTCGTTCGTTATTGTTTTAAGCTTATTAAAAAAAAATAACGTGTGATTCCGTGTTAGGAATCACACGTTAAAAGGTAAGACCTCGTTAATCCTTAGCTCGCACAAGTTTCGACTTCTGAGGGTTGTCGTTCGTAGGGGTGCGACAGCTGGTTAACGGAAAAACAGATTTTAAACAGAAAACAGATTTTAAACAGATTTTAAACTTTTCAGTTCGATGTTGTTTAAAAGCGTGTTTTTTAAAACTATATTTTTTTAAAATTTTTTAGTTTTGTGATTTATAAAAGCGTGTTTTTTAGTCTTTTTAAACTATATTTATTTTATCTGAACTTTGGGATCAATCAGCTGTATTATGTTCAGAAGCCTGAGAATCAGCTACCAAGCCCAAGGAAGGCGCGCAAAGAAGGGATACAAATAAGGAAGCAGGCGCACGTGTTAATAAAAAAAACTTTTTTCAAATGAAAAAATACATGTAAAGTGAGTTCGAATTATATTAGGGAGGTTACTTACAGCGCCATCTGCCAGCGAATAGATCAAACACTACTATCGATAATTCTATCAAATACAGATCCCGAGCATTCAAAGGGGAATAAATATGAAATGGAGGGGAGAGTTACAAACAAACTAACATTCATACATACAGGTGAAGCTAGTAAA